TGTTCAATCTTAGTTTTGGGTTGGCGCAGCCCACCATCCCATGCGGGAGTCCAACAAGCAACCTTGTTGTTAGGAGCATGTGCTGTCACCAGCTGAGCCATCCTGCCATCTGTTGGTAGCTCAGTGGCAGCTCACCTTAGGCACAGCATCACAGGCCCATGTGAGAATTGAACCGGCGGCCCTGTTGCTCAGAGCTTGTGCTCTTAACCAACTGAGCCACTCGGCTGGCCCCAGGGGTATCAGTTCTTAAAGTATATAAATGTCTAACTACTATGCTGTACACCTGAAAGTAACGTAAAATAATATTGAATGTCAACTGTAATTGAAAAGTAAAAAAGAGTTGAAAAGGCGAAGGAGAATAAGAGGTTCAAATTTCCAGGTATAAAACAAGTCATGGGGATATAACGTACAGCACGGGGAATATAGTCAATAATATTGTGATAGTGTGGTACGGTGTCAGATGGTTACTGGACTTACCATGGTGATCACTTCTTTAGGTATAAATGTCGACTGATTATGATGTATACCTGAAACTAATATAGTATTGTATGTTAGCCATATTTTAATAAAAATCTTAAACTAATAATAAAAAATACAAGCACACACACAAAAGAATACAACTAATTGTTGCACATTGATCTGGGATCCTGAAATATTGCTGAGCTCATTTATTGCATATTCAGATAGGTTCTTGTGTTTTTTGGTGTATTCTTTAGTGATTACAGAGGGTACCAAAAAATATACACACATTTTAAGAAAGGAAACCTGTATTAAAATTGTGATACTCAATATATAGCAATAACACAAGATGAATACAAGTCACATTTGACTTCTGCAATTACAAGAGGTGCTCAAAGTGGTTACCATCAGCATCCAGACATATTTTTGGTGCCCCTGATACATATAAAACATATGAATAGAGTTAGTTTTACTTGTTCCTTTCCAATCAGGATGACTTTTATTTATTTGCCCTGACTAGAACTTTAAGTACAATGTTGCATAGAAGTGTGATGCTAGGGTGCGAGCACCCAGTGTTTCACCATTATGAATGATGTTATCTGTTGGTTTTTATAGATGCTGTTTATCAGGCTGAGAAAGCTTCCTTCTACTCCTATTTGGTTGAATTTATTTTCATGAAAGGGTGTTGGCTTTTATCAAATGCTTCCCTTCCCCCTGACATCTATGCGATGAGCATGAGTTCCCCACCCCCTGCATTCTATTCATATGGTGTATTACATTGATTTTCATGTTAAACCCACCTCATATTCACCAGGCAAGCTGCTTGAGTATGTGTGTGTGTGTGTGTGTGTGTGTGTGTGTGTGTGTGTACGCACATGCACATGCGTGAAGGAATCTGGAGCATGATGAAAGG